GGGGGGGGGGCTGGATGTAGTGTAATGGTGGACTTGTGGCGTTGGCTGGTGGCCGTCGCTGCTGCCAGCCCCCCTCTCCCAACAAGAATAAGTGTTTTCGTTTCCAGCAGGAAAGGATGGCTTCAGTCTTTGAAATCATGTTTTCACAGCGCACTGTTCTCATTCTAAGAAAGTTCCTAGTTCTTGTATGGGTAAAAGACGTGTTCAAAAAACAAGAACATTTCTCTCACATTTAAAGTTCGTTTTGTGGGTGTGCAGGCCGTTCGCAACCCTCCGCCATGCTCCATTGGGAGAACAACTCTGGCGAGATGCGCGCGCTGGGCTATGGGGGGGGGGGCCACCGCGCAGGGAGAGCGAGAGCGCAGGGGGAGAGAAGGGGTGGCCTGGGAGAGAAGATCGATGGTGCTTGCTGGCGCTGAGAAATTGGCGATATAAAATGCATTAAAGCGGTCGGTAAGCGGCTGGCGGGGCGGGTAACGGTCTGAGTGCGCGGCGTGGCGTGGCCGGGCTGTGCAGAGCGCCCCACCCTCCGACACTCCGACCCGACGTTGCTGTCCATAGCAAACACTTTGCCTCTTCCTTGAATTTGCTGTACACCCTAAAATAAAAAGCAATAATCCCGGCAATAATTGTAAAGGATAAATAACAACAAAGGTAATGGTTTGGTTTACTTTTGCCCGTTTTGTGTGTCTGTCCGTTTTAGGGCCGAATTCCTTTACGCGCTGCTTTAAGACAAATTCTAACTGTGTGTACCGCTCGGTCTCTGCGCGCTAAGTGGCAGCTCAGGTTTATAACCTCACGTTTGGCAGGGAAACGTGCGGACGCAGTCATGACCGGCAGGAATGGAGTTGTGCTTTCTTTTCCTTTTTGTTTTCATCCTTCATTTCCACACACTTGGGTCTCGTTTTCCACCAGCATTGGGTAAAGTACTGGAAAAATGTCGAAATCACGTCGTGTTCAAGTATTTCAGTCAAGCAATGCGACAGTACCGTAACTTTCCTTTTTCTGTTTTTTCGGAGTGTGCAGCACGGCGTGCTATCTCGGCACTGATTGGTCGGCCAGTGGGCACGTGACTAGGATATCGAGTCGGATCACGGCTCGTATAGATCGGGTAAAAGAGGGAGAGAGAAAGAGGGAGAAAAGGTCCGAGTATGGGGGCGGCGCGGCGGCGGAGAGAGGGAGAAAGAGAGAGGGAGCAAGGAAGGGAGATGAAGGGGGAGCCACGGCCGGTGGGCGGCGGTCAAGAGGTCAAAAATGGAATGATGAAAATTGCAGAGCAGAGCAGCGCATGGCGATGAGGGTGAGACGGTATATGACCCCTGCAAGCCGAAAGCGACCGCACCAGTTCTGCGTCGGTAATCTGTCGCTCTGTGCTTTTACGGCGTTTCGTACCGCACTGAGGTGTGCCCGTTTCTCCAACCCTCAGCCCTCCTTCACTCCCACTCCGCTTCCCCTCTCCGCCGTCCACCCACCCACTCCACACCCTCCTCCTCCTCGACGTTGGTTGATAAAATTAATGATGAAAGTATTAAGGCTAAATTTTATTGTCGTTTCCCCCCCTGGCGTCGAGTGGGGGAGGTGGTATGGCCGTCCGAGGAGGAGGAGGAGGGAAGCGGTGGAGGGAGTCGCTGCTACAAGAATGCGCCCCGCTGCCTCCTTCAGAGAGTTTGGTGGCAGGGCGTGGTGACCCGACCCCTCCCT